TCCTCGCGCGCGCGTCCGCACGTGCGACTGGCGAGAATGTCACCTCACCAGTAACTTAAGAACCAATGAAATACGTAGAAGGATCTCCATAAAATACGAGTATAACGCTAAAATCATGGGATTAAAGTAATTCCACGAACATACTGTTTTATCTCGCATGCCAGTGTGCAGGCGGGTTCGACTACCTCCACCGTAGCCCTGTGGGTCGAAGGAGGCAACGAAAAGGGAACCTAGTGTCTGAGGGTATATCTGGACCACCATTTGGGGGAGTCCCGTGAGATTAGGACCCAAGAATGACTGCGCTGATGAGGGCCAGCAGCAATTGTAAACGACAGACTCGTCCTTTTGTCAGAGAGGGCGCCCCACATCAACAACCCCGCAACAGTCTGACAGCAATAGAAATCTAGTCTTGGGCCCCAGATGGGGCTTGACACCAAGAATGACTGGCCGACTGACCGTCGGTCGTAAGGTAACTTCGACTTTAACACCTCGGAAATACGTGGAACAAAAAATGTAATTCCTATGTCAAGGTACTACTGTATATTCCTTTAGGGTGTGTAAAATCACGAGAAACAGAATAAGAGGCATTTCAGGTAAGATACTAAACTGAATAACTCTACGTAATTCAGTCTTTCTAGAAAAGTCAACAAGTTATCAGCTACAAGAAATTTCCCACATTTTATGGAGTCCAAAATCTCATTACTGTGTTCGTAATAGCCCGCCACATTAACTGTGTTGAGTCAGAAGAATTCAGTTCACCTCCTCCCATCCTATTTCTCAGAGAACCATCTTAATTCTAAACTAGTGTCTTCAAATACTACGTAGATAGAGGTGTTCCCTCTATGTTAACTTGTATGCGGTAATTAACTTCTGGTAGAAACAAGAATGAATGAATGAATGAATATATGAGGGATAGGCCTTCTCGGCCCTTACACCGCGACCTCAGTGGTCTGTTGTGTTTCCCATTTTTTAATTATTCCCTCAGCAACCCCACGCTTCGGTTGAAGCGCAGGATTTTGGACGTGGGGGCGTCATAGAACCAGGATTAAGTCACAGCAAGCGAAGTAACGAGCTGTGGCCTTTAGTACAACGTGTACAATTTCCAATAGATTCATTGATCATTTTTCTACTCACGATCATTCCAGATCAGCTCTGGGGTTTGCTCAGTAACATAAAGTAACTAGTTAAACAAATAGATACAATTCTTGACATAAGAAGTTATACAGGATAAAAAATTTAGAAACACACGAGGGAGGGTAAATAGGTCACATGTGATATTCGAACCTGGGAAAAGCATTTACGTCTATTTCTCAGCATATTCTCCACCAACATTGATACAATTGTTCCATCGCTTTACCGTTGCTTCGAAACCCGCAGCATAGAAGTCTTTTTTGACTGTTGTCTCGACCACTTCTGTACCTACGTTTCAAACTCTTCGTCATCAGCTAAACGTTTGCCACATTTCTCGACCCATCTGTGAACAGTTTTACATGATAAACACCTCCCACCGCAAAGATGAAACATTTCTTTGTGAATATCCTTTGCATTGAATTCTCTTGCTGATAAAAACGCACAAAAAGGACACTGTTCTTCGGTATACGCTCCTCAAGCACGATCGCCATTTTCACTACTGAAACCAGCCTCTGAATATGTGCATGCGCGTCTGCTATCTGAACTGTCATGAAGTTGGACTCTGCTGCTACCTAGTGATACATATAGAAAACATATTGCGTCCTTTACGGGTGTTTTACTTCCATTTGTGAACTATTTACTTACTCTTCCTCGCATAAAACACTCCGAACTATTCATAACCTTCTCTCCCTTGAGAAGCAAACAGTCGCCCAACCATTACGTATATTACCCGTCATTTACGGAACCCATAGGATTAATGTTAAAAAACATTCTTAGGTGGATATAGTCCGATTCTAAAATAAGTATATTCATGTAAGATTTGAGGCTTTCACGGCGGTGACTATGAAGAAAGCAGTCTTCTGGGACAGTCCGCTTTTACCGGTTCTCACGGTCTCTTCGCTTGCAGATTTCTTATATTTTTTCTTCTACCCTGAAGATGGAGGCGATACGTTCCTCCGAAACGTCGGTTAACACCACATATACACGGTGCCAAATCCCAGAAGACTGCTTTCTTCAAGTATATTCATGTTTTTTTCCTATACGCTGGTACTAGGAGACGTTTGAATGTCCGAAACACAAAACTAATTATGCACAACTGTATCTTTAAATTACAAAGGCCAAGGAAATGATCTCATTTGTTTCATTGTTAGCCTACTCCCTTGTATTTCCCACAAGTCCTGCCATTATTCTGACAATAATCTTTGAGGGTGTGTCATTATCAGACAGTGACGCAAATTGTTATGTCATCATTAGATTTTTTATCCTTGGGATAGAGTGAAACTTAGTCCACTTGGTCCTGCAGCCACTAAATGGTCTACTGTACCAGCCACGGATGATAGATGATGAGTTTGGAGCAGTCGATGGAATGTGAATTGGCAGGGGAAACTAAAGTGCTCGGAGAAATAGGTACCAGTGCTATTTTGTCCACCAAATATTCCATATGATATGACTTGGGCTTGAACCCGAGCCGCCGCGGTGAGAAACCGGCGAATAACCGCCCGAACTGTGGTACAGCCTAATTAGGAAATTACTAAATATTATTATTAAACATGGTGGGAACCAAAATCTGCATTGGAGACATCTGTGAAGACACCAGGAACTTTCTTCCGTATTCTGCCAACTCAAAACTATGACATCCTCAAAATATTTGGTTTGGTCAGCGACAAACGCACTATAGTGGAAAAAGGAGGAGGCCACTGAGGCCTGGAAGCGAATATAACCGTACACACAAGGTGGGATGTTTCGAGGGGGATCATACCCACATACAGAAATTATTTCCGTGGCTTAATTTTTTGTGTTTTTATTGGAAGTTAGTCTAACAGCATTTGTAAGGCGTGGTTTAAGTGTATAGTCCCACTTATTGAGTACTCACTGTGGGATTCATGGGTTTTTGGCTTTGTCCATCGCCGATGATGGGCTAAGTCCAAAAACCCAGGAATCGCGAGTGTTATACACAAACTTCAGAACACTTCAGAATCTACAAGTATTCACTATGTTCACCTTAGCTCCCTGAATATACGAACAGATCTCACGACACAGTACATGGCTAATTTCGATGTTGCATCTGAAGATTTCCCAACGAAAAGTTGAGGAACTTTGATACTTTTAGACGTTCTTGTCCTCGCTTAAATGGTTTTCATGAAACTTGATACTGTTAAGTTCTTCTAAAACTTATCGACAAAGTCCAATTTTAGTTACGATGGGACGGCATAAGGGGCACATTACATGAAAGCCGATATGGGTTTCTGAGCGTAATTCGATGCATACACGTAACCGAATGCTGAACCGTTGGGTTATTATGTAATTTTAGTATGAAAATGAATTTTAAACCTGCTTATTAAAGAGAAGAGCGTTTCGAACAAAAGCTGTGGGGGCAAAGGTGTCGTAAGATTTTCGAGATAATAATTATCAAACACTCCAGAATAGTTAGCTATGTGTACATTTCCCTACTTATTCAATTTAGGAGCTCCACACTTCACCATGTAATTACAAATGCACCCCAGTATCTGGGAAGTCACGTCTTCAAAACCTCAGGCATCTTAATGGTATTTCGTGATCTGTTAAGGAATCTGACTATTTTCTTCAGTCACAGTCCCGAATTCTTCGTATATAGTGGCTTAGCCTCATTCAGGAGAGCGTGTATGTCCCCGTGCCTAATCTCCAAGACTTCTGGAAGGATTTTGATTAAATTTGATGCTGATGGTCGACACCAACACCTGAGATTTCATAACTGATTCTTGTTTGTATCAGTTCTCCTTTATATACAATTCTACAGATAGCTGTGACGTCGATCCCGGCATTGGTCTTACAGAGTCACAGCTACTTTACGACTGGCGATTTACTGTCAATCAGTTCGTCTTGGTGGCAACCTCCTTGAGACTTACAACCGGTAGTTTCATTTTCCAATTGAACAAATGTGGTTATAGTCCTTACGTAACATCCTCTCTGATGGGTCTGTCCTTTACAATTGCTGCTGGTTCTCGCCAGCGCAGTCATTCTCAGGTCAGAGTCCCGCGAGACTTATCACCACATTTTACTGTCTCAGATTCCAGACACCTCTGTACTGGAAGGACAGGTCCCAGTATTTACATCCCTCAGGCACTGGGTTCCCTTTCCGTCACCTCCTACGACTCTCAGGGCTACGGTAGAGGTATGTGGCCCCGAATCAAGAAGGGAAGCTCTACCGGTCTTATACTGCGATCGGCAGTAGTTTATCCCCTAATATTTATGAGTGAACTGAGCCCAACAGGAAACTCAAATTGCCTACAACACATATACAGAATGAAGACAAACAGGATACAGCAGCAGATAATGGATTACAAACCACTCAGACTAAGAGCTCCTAGACGCCATAAGAAAAGATAAACAGAACAACGATACTCCTATGTGCAGCTAAGCCACCAGTCGTAGTTTGATGACAGGAAACTAAGAGAAGCTATTAAAATATAAAGGGAATGAATCTACCAAAAATCACGGATTTAAATAGATTACAAATAGCTTTACATCTAGTGGTTTGAAGAGATTTTTCAAGAGATTATCTGGCAAACCCTATCTCAGAAAAAAATATTTACCCAATAATAATTTATTTTCTTCGAAAATGTCCCCATTATTGATACCCGAACCCCTCAATGAGACACCTCCACACAATCTAAACATTTTGCATCCTCAAGATGGAATACAAATTCCGTTCATAAAACGAAGCTCGCCATTTGCTTTCCGACCATCAGCAAATAACTGAGAAATTACTATGAAGGTTTTAAAATTGTCTCGGGCATCCAAAACACTTCGACAGCAACATACCTGTCCTAGGGTTTATGAAGTAACTAAGTTCTATCCTGCAAAATTCATGATGATGATCTCTCTTTCAGGGATCCGAGTATGCATTATCGTCTGCTGTCTCTGTCTGACACTTCATTTATTGAGGACGGCGTTTAGAGCGCTATTTATTGGGAAGCCTCAAGGGGATGAACAGTTTGAATGGCTACGAAGGAACCGGGATGTGAGGCAGTACATCTTACCCGAAGTGAACACGACCCTCCTGAGTCCAAGAATGTCCTGCTATGACAGACTGCGCCTTCTGATCCTTGTGGCCTCTGCTCCAGGCAACAGCGAACACAGACAGGCTATACGAGACACGTGGGGATACGCTGTTCCTATACATGAAGCCAGACTGCTCTTCTTCCTGGGGCATGACGGCAACGGACGGCCTCTATTGACGACGGTGAGTGACGGTTTGTCAGACTTGAAATTTGAGATCGTCAGGGTGATCAGAATTTAGATTGTGGTCTTCCGGGTTAGGACACTGTGTAGAGTGATAGGTAAAAAAGTAAAGTCCCTGTGCTTCAGTAATTAATTTTTATGGAGATGTTAGGTTGGTCCCTTGCATCACGGCATGGCGCGTCCTCGGGTTGCGGACGGAGGAGAAGACCCCCAGTTATGAAGGGTTGCTGCGAATATATTCAATGAGCAGTCGCAGACAGCCGACAAGGAGTGGTCCTCCAGCTTGGGGGTTGAGCGTGGGGTTAAAAACTTCTTGTCGTATAAAAATAAGCTTATTATTATTACTATCAAAAGAAGCCTCGGAACCCGACGGATTCCTTGAATTAACAACCCATGCAAAAGAAATTAGATATGAGATTTGATACCTGGAATTGTAGAAGTATTTATAGGGCAGGTTCGCTCGGGCAGTGGTGGAAGAAATCTCAAAATATAAGTTAGATTTATTGGGAGTACAGGACGTCAGATGGGACAGGGGTGGCACCAAACCAGCAGGTGAATACACATTTTTCTATGGAAAGGGGAATGAGAATCAAGAATTAGGTACAGGCTTTTTCGTACATAAGGGAATACTTATCAGCAGTTAATACGGTAGAGTTTGTTAGAGATAGGATGTCATACACAATACTACGAGGTCATTGGTGTAATATCATCGTTCTGAATGTTCATTCCATGAGTGATGGAGTATCAGATCACTTCGTTTACATGCGGACATTCGAATTTTCGAATTCATGGAATGTACAAGGAATCGACAGTTTTGAAATATTTAAATTTTAGAAAACAGTTGTTCTTAAATTTTCGAAATTTCTCGTGCTTTCTAAATTATAGAGAATTAATTTTTTTTCAAGAAATTGAAGTAATGAAGCTTTTGATGTCTTTATATAATCGACAACAAATATTCTGTAATTTGGAAAATTTTGAATGTTTATGGACTTTCTACAAATCGAATTACAAATATTATCGAAAATGAACACAGCTTTAAATTCTAGAAATCATTCAACTTTCGAATCAGTTCAAATTCCTTCAAGACCCTAGATACTTCTGTTTGTTTTAATATGAGCATTCTCTTAAATTTGTGCACGTCTAATTTGAATCAGGTTCCACGAAGCCAGGTCATGTTGGAGTTATGCAGAATTGCACAGTGATGGACATATTTGCTCCTGTTACACACAATGCTCACACTTGTTTATGTACTTCTAATGTGTATGTATTTTATACCATTTATGTATTAAACACCAATTTGCAACATAAAGTACTATCTGCTTGCTCAGTACCTCATACGTTTTGACTCTCAAGGAGTATCATTTGGGGTGTTTATTAAGGGACATTTTTAATACAGCAGCAGTCATTCAAGGTTTCAAGGTATCTACAAGAGTGTTTCTTCATCCTAAAAAGCTTATATTCCAATTATTAAAAATAAGTATGGTAAAATGTACTGATATGTTCTACTGACAACATTAAGTTTTAGAGACAACATGATTCTTATATTTATCATGCGCATTATATACATCATAACATTCAAGTCTTGTTTATATTACTTATAATATAAAAAGCTGTATAGAAATATTGGTTGATTGATTCCAGATATAAAGAACATAACCAAAGTATTGGATAAAATAAGGAGAATTCTAAGCTTGCCTCAAATATCCTTAACAGTAAACATTCTTGTTATTCAGCCACACAGCGAACTATGAGTACAAGTACAATAAAGATTGATCGCACAGAAAAAAGAATTACCATGAATATTAAAGAAAGCTCATGTTTATTTTTAATCATCCTACTGCTTGATGTTATAATCTACATAGAGAAGGCCTTATTAAATAACCCACAAAATATCAATGAATGCAATTACTGAACAAGTTGGTTCATTCAGTAAATCCCCTAGCCCTTATTCAGGATGGCTAGTTCAAATTTAGTTAAAGACAACGACTGTGCTGGTTTTTGGTTTTCCTCAGTCCTCCAGACCAATGTAGGGACAGTATTTTAAATTAGGCAAAGACCACTTCATTCCATTTTCTCTCCAATTCATTATTCACTATTCATCTAACCACTCAAAGCTACACTGAGTTACCTACATATTTGAACATGGAGACAATAATTATGGAGCCTTATAGCTATCCACACATATGAATAGTGACTTTTCACCTTAACCATATATGCAGTAATCACAAAATCTTTGTTATAGGAATCAGTTCTGTCTGAAGCTCAGAAGTATGGGGACATTGTTGTGGAAGATTTCATTGACAGTTACCACAATTTAACATTGAAGAGCGTATTCATGCTGAAGTGGACTCTGAAGTGTTGCAAGTCTGTGCCATATGTGCTAAAGACAGATGACGATATGCTGATAAATGTAAGGGCACTTCTACAAGAGTTAGAAAACAGCAAATACAGACCTTCACAGCCACTAATTATAGGAAGGATACAAGAAGGGTCCCTGCCATACAGAGACAGATTATCTAAATGGTACTTGCCTCATTGGTTATATGAAGAAACGACATTTCCTACCTTTGCCTCCGGTACAGGATACGTTATGACACAGAAAGCTGTGTCTGAACTCTATCCTAATGCTTTGGATACTCCTCTTCTTCCATTAGAAGATGTATTTCTGACAGGTGTGGTTGCTACCAAAATCCTTGGCATTCCTCTGATAAGTGAACCACGTTTCCATAATGACCGACCACTCTTTTCTGAACACCCCTGTCTCTATCATCATCTTCTTACAGTTCATGACTTGACACCAAAACAGCTCAGAAGACTCTGGATTGGTCTGTCAACGCTTAAACAAACAAAATGTGATTCATTTTATGCAAGATTTCTAGCATATTTTTTTGGTACTGGTCAATATAAAATACTTACTGATGTAGCCTGGTAAATTAAAAAAGGATTACATGAACACTTTGTATCAATTAATATACCAGTTACTTCGAACAGCTTATCTTATGAAGATTACAGAGGTGTGCTGCAAGGAATACATGTATCTTCCAAAAGATCTCTTTGAAATTCGCTGGTCTTAACATTAATTTGTTCCACATATTTGTAGAAATATAAGCTAAACATGAAAGCATGCAGTATAATAGTTGGTTGAGGCACTATGCTAAAAGCCAGAAGGTTCAATTCCCAATAAGGTTATTGGATTTTTCAATTGACCTAATCCTTCCAGCCGCACTTTGGTCCTGGGGTTGACTCAGCCTCTAGCAGAAAGAAGTACTAGGAATCTTCCTGAGGGTAAAGGGCAGCTGACATGTAAAGCTGACAAACTAACCACCATCTGTGAGCCAACTGTCCAGAAAATGTGGGAGCCATGACATCTGACAACCCTATGGACCTCCACAGCCTGCTACAGGGATGGCTTTACCTATTTATGCACACTACAGATTACAACAGCATGGAATCATAAATTATTATTTCTTTTATTTTTTTAATATTCACCATATGAAGAGAACACTCTGTATGAAAAATAGCAAACTTCAAGAGATCTATATTTATAATATGTACCAATAGTTTTTGTACCATGTGCCATTTTTTTTAGCAAACTTATAAAATATGATGTATGTCATGTAAAGTAAGGACTACTAAATTATAATTAAATGTGCCTGATAATCCTTGGTGTATACCCTCTTTCAAACTCCAAATGTCACTGAAATCAGTTTTGATTTCTAAGATGACACATGTGGACATATAAACACATCATTATGCTTAATGTTATGCATTTTGTGCAAATAAAGCATAATAAATGTGTTTTCACTCAAACTAACATGAAAAATTCAGGGTATATTTTCTTGTGCAGCTAGTTGGTTCCAAAAATGGCAACTTTCCTTACCATATTTGCCTTAATACCAGTCACTGTTTATTTCTGTCTGATAAAACTGTAGGCCTAATGGGTGTGATTAGATAGATTGCCAATGTGAAAGTGAAATGGTCAATATTTTCTGATAGCTTATGCAGTAATTTCCCAGCAAGTGAGAATAATGAAGGTGATAGCATTCATAATCAATGTAAATCACAAGTATCCCTGAAATCCCAATTGCCTTTTTGAAACCATATTCTGGCAAATGCTGTGGTCACTTTCAAAATGCAAATGGCGTTAAAAGCAAAATTCCTTGCACAACGAGGAGCTTCATAACTTGTACTCTTCTCCAAGTATAATTAGAATGATCAACTCAAGGAGGATGAGGTGGGCGCGGTATGTAGCACGAATGGGGGAGATGAGGAATGCATATAGGATATTGATGGGAAAGCCTGAAGGAAAGAGACCACTGGGAAGACCAAGGCATAGGTGGGTAGACAATATTAAAATGGATCTTAGAGAGATAGGATGGGATGGTATGGATTGGAATGATCTGGCTCAGGATGGGCACCAGTGGAGGGCTCTTGTGAACACCGTAATGAACCTTCGTGTTCCATAGAATGATGGGAAATTCTTGAGTAGCAGCATAATTGGCGGCTCCTCCAGAAGGTCTCAGCTCCATGAGTAAGTGAGTAAGTAAGTAAATAAGTAAGTAAGATCAAAATAAAGTGATATAGGAAATGTCCATCCATATTATTATCAAAATACATTAATGATTGTGGGAAATCCCACATACTTACACGCTGTTTCGCCAGTCTAACAGACAACAGTCACTCCTAGGTCAATATCACATTGCCGCAAGTCTCCAGCGACCAGGCAACCGACATAGTTGCTGCAAGTCTCCAGTGACCACGCTCTGTGACCAGGCAACCGACGTAGTTGCTGCAAGTCTCCAGTGACCACGCTCTGCGACCAGGCAACCGACATAGTTGCCGCAAGTCTCCAGTGACCACGCTCTGCGACCAGGCAACCGACATAGTTGCTGCAAGTCTCCAGTGACCCTGCTCTGTGACCAGGCAACCGACATAGTTGCCGCAAGTCTCCAGCGACCATGCTCTGCGACCAGGCAACCGACATAGTTGCTGCAAGTCTCCAGTGACCACGCTCTGTGACCAGGCAACCGACGTAGTTGCTGCAAGTCTCCAGTGACCCTGCTCTGCGACCAGGCAACTCACGCCGCTGCCGTAACTCCAGAAACCACACCTTACCGGCACATGCAGCACTACATCACCGGCCAGAGAGGCCAGCTGAACGGCCGTAAGAATTGGCCTACTACAAGGAAACAAACGGCCCTTTTCAGGGCCCGCAAACTTTCCTAAGTAGTTGTCTATTGGAACCTCGACAATGCCACATATTATGGTATAAATTTATTAGAAATATAGCCTATTCTATATATATGCTTATCAGTATCCAATATTACAGAATTCTTCATTGAGACAATCTTCTACTGAATAACAGTATCCCTTAATAAAGGCTGAAAAATAAGCCAAGCAGGAAAACAGCATGAAGCAGGTAACAAGCAGAAGACAGAACTCCAAGAACATAAGCTGTCATACAATTCCACTTCTTTTATGTAATACATGCAAATCTGACAGTATTTTTACTTACCAGTACTATTTTGAAATATGACAGCTCAATCAATAAAGTTCTGGCTATGAATTTGACAATCCTTTTAGATTCCCAGGAGGAGGAGAATGTGCTGATTACATGAACTTTAATCCAAAAAATGCATATGGGTTTTCCCTGGGGATAAGATGGCGGAACTCTACATAACTCTGAGATCTAAACTGTGTATAATTTTATCTCCAAGAGTAAATGTATCTTTACTTTAGTAACATAATTTTGTTTACTCGATATGTGCAACTTAATGTGTAAAAATGTAACTAAATGCAATCAAATTTATCCCTGCATTTCATAGGAACAACACTGCCTTTATTCTTCATAACTCTAAGTATGTGTTCACCGTAGATATGCAGTGTTTATGATTCCTGCTTGAACTCTTCTATGTTATGCAAAATGTAACTAAGAAGTGAATATTTGCATCTACATATTTTAATAAAATTTGTGTTTTATAAAAGTATTTCTATTTTTTACACTAGTTCATATCTCCATTTAATTTATTACTGAATACTTTGAATCACTCTTGCTTCTTATGATACAATATAATGCCTGAATCCTGTTGTGAACACATATTATAGCATCATTATCTATCAATTGAGGGTAGTAGCTTCTTTAAAGGAAATTGAAGCAAATTCTGCCTTTACCTTTAAGTATATCATAGGAAAATTCAGACAGTTAATTAGGGACATCATCCAGTCTTAACTGTTAAAATGCTGTAATAAAATCCTGATACAATTGAGAATCTCAAAATCTATCTTTCAATTCAATTCAATATCTGACTTCCTCTTTAGACATGTAGTATTCAGAATCAAGAACAAATTTTTATTTTAGGATTTGAAAACAACTGTAGCATAATAACACTTCACTTTCACAAATTTCAATATTAACTTTGACCTCAGACTTTAATAATTTGTTGGTTTGAACATTCCGATTCGGTTTCTTTCAATGTCAGGATATAAGTACTAGGACAGTTCTTTTTCTTACTCAAACAGATTTGGATTGAGGGAAATGCACATGCTGCCCAAAAATTTCATTGTGTGCTTAAATTCTAAGGGTAAGACAAGAGAATGTAGAAACTATCCCAGAAAAATTATATCTCACTGATGCAATGAAAACACAGGAATGGGCTGGGCGAACTATTAATTTTGGCATATATACACCAGATCTGTCATGCATGGGTTCCACAACAGGACTTGCATAGCTGGAGGATACAAGCCAAATACCTCACTCAGTTATACTTGAAAGGATTCTGATGATGGTGTATACTGTACTTCTTTTGGTTTATTTTGGACTTCATCCATTGTCTGGTATGTAAAAGACAAAAGACCACGACGTTTCGGAGACTGGATCTGTCTCTGTCTTCAGGTTGGTGGGGAACGATAAACCTACTCAGTTGGGCCCGTTAGAAAGAGCTAGTCTCAATTACCCTCCCTACCCTACATACCAGACGATGGATGAAGTCCAAAATAAGCCAAAATAAGTACCTCACTTCGTGTTTCTCTCGAAAAACAATGTGCACACAGTACTATCTGAACGTTGTGGCAGAAGAACAGAAAGAGTGGACTGATGAACTACAGCTGTCTCACTCTATTCATGCATATTGTGTTTAGTTTTAAAAACATAATGGAATGCTGTGCATTGTTTCAGTAAGCTCCAAATGTAATAAGATCAGAAAGTTTTGTGAGAAAAAATTGGGGATTTAAGAAAATTTTATATAATTTTCTAAAGCAACAAAACTCAGTGTCCAGAATCTTAAAAGTGTATATAACTTTGTAAAATAGCTAAGCACTCCATGTAGGCACTTTGCAACCCTAAAAGGTTGAACTTATAGTCTGATTAATCTCAAGCATTTGTTACTACAGTTACTGTAATTTTTTGTGGTTAATGAATATGTGCAAACTTTATAAACAAATCTCTGTACTATATAGTGTGAATGATTTTTTTTATTGCTAGTGGGGTGTGACTAAGTCCCTTGTACTGCGGCCACTTCTGGCCTACTGTACCAGCCCCAGATGAAAGGTGAAGGTGATTGTGGAGCGATTGGTGGAATGAACATTGGCAGGGGAAACCGAAGTACTCGGAGAAAACCTGCCCCAGTGGCACTTTTTCCACCACAAATCCCCACTTGACCAGAGCCGGGATCGAACCCGGGCCGCCGCTGTGGGAAGCCAGCGACTAACCGCTTGAGCTATGGTGCGGATAGTCTGAATGATGAAAGTCAAATTAAAATCTGGATGTTTCATCACTGTAAGCAAAACCGAAAATGAAAACTTAACTTTCATGTTAGCAATTCAAACTTCTAAATTATACTCACTCCCCATAAAGTAATTACCTTACAACCTTACGATATCATAACCGGTCACTTTTTCTGCTGGCACGACATTCTGATGTCGTTACAGCAATCTGACACATGTACTAAAACATTTTTGATTATACGTGAACTTACTGGCACTTAAGCTGCTTAAGCTGATAGAAAATCTGATTTCCTTTATCCTTGCATTTGCACTGCAAAACAAAACAAAGAATAAGGCCCTCACCACCCTTACTGCGGTACAGCAAACGTCCTCAATTAAACTCGTTTTTTTTTTTCAAATGTATGTCCGCGTACGTCTGTGTTTTAGTCTGAAAGAACCTAATTCAGATAAAACCTATGGGAAAAATATTTACCTGCTGTGTTCCAACCATAACACATTGCACGTCATGTCA